CCTGATGGACAAGTTGAACATGAACCAACAACATGCCATTATAGCAAAGGCGGCCAACGGCCTCCTGGGCTGCATTAGGAAGAGTGCTGCCAACAGGTCAAGAGATGCAGTCCTTCAATCCTTCCCCTCTACTTGGCACTGGTGAGACCACAGCTGGAGCGCTGTGTCCAGTTCCAGGCTCCCCGGTACCAGGAAGACATCAACATACTGGTGCAATTTTGCTGAAGGGCCTCAATGATGATTAAGGAATTGGAGCATCCAGCCTACAAGGAGAGGTTAAGAGAGCTGGGATGGGACTGTTCAGCTTCAAGAAGAGAAGGCTCAGGCAGGGAGATCTTATTGATGTGGAAATATACCTGATGGTAGGGAGTAAAGATGACAGAGCCAGACTCTTCTCAGTGGTGTCCAGCAACACAATAAGAAGCAACAGCACAAAATACAGGAGATTCCATTTAAAGGTAAAAAAATGCCCAAGTTTTTACTGTAAGAGCGATTGAACCCCAGAACACGTTCCTCAGAGGGGTTGTGGAATCTCCATCTTTGGAGATATCCAAACCCCAAATGGACACAGCCCTGAGCAGCCTGCTCTAGCCAACCCTGCTTTGAGCAAGGGGGTTGAAGTAGATGATCTCCAGAGGTGCCTTCCAACCTCAACCATTTGGTGATTCTCAGAAGTTCAGAGCTGTTCAGCTGAAGTCACTCAGTTTCTGCTCCTCAGACCACATCCATCTTGTAGATATTTCAGTTTCTTGCCACAGCACCCTTTCTCTGCTTGGTATTTTTAGCTCATTGTTTTGTATTTTGCCAGCTAAGAAACTGCAGTTTGTAATTTTACCTTCAGCTTCATATTTCTTCTTAAAAGTGAATACAATGTCCTGTTTATAATAATAAAATCACTAGTTGGCAGGATGACATCAAATGGAAAAAGAGAAAGCAACTGGAAAATTTAGAGCAAGCAATTTTGAGTGCCAAGTTTCACATTTGTAATAGTCCAGCGGAGGTCAACAGGCTCACTTATTATTAGGCAAATGGTAAAGAAATAGATATCCTCAAGTTCTTCCATGTTAGACTATATAAACCATCTCTACTTGAACAGGCTCTAGTGCTTTCCAAAAGAGTGATGTTATACATTTTCCACAGTAACACCAACAATGGGAGACAAGCAAAAGGCAGAACTTCTTTGCAAAGAACGGCCTTTTTTCTCTCTCCAATATTTAGGTTTTTGTTTCCCACTATGATTGGACTTTCCTGGCTTTAGTTTCTTGTCCCAGTTAAGCAGTAAAGGAAACAAAAAGATATGAATGAAATTAGAAACATTTGGAATGAGTCTTAGAAATAGCTTCTGGGTTTCTTAGATTCCTGGCTACACCTCTTCAAATGGCCTCCTCCTCCTCCAGCCCCCATCTCCTGCACCCACCTCTGAAATTTGCATTTCCTCCTTTGCCCTGACCCCTCTTCTGTTCAGGGGCTATATTTTGTCCCACACCATTGAAACACTGAGTGCAAAGCAAAGCAAACAGGGAAATTAAAATTACCTGTTGAAACACTGGAAAAGACCGGAAAGTGGTTGAAACTTTGCACCCATCAAAATTTGTCTCTATGACACTAATCCTCCAATGTTTCTCTAAAAGCAGAAACCAAACACTTCTCAAACTTCTAATGAAAAAATACCAATTCCAGTCAACCTGAATAATGAAATGAGAACTCTGGTCCTATCTGTATTATCACATTTAAAGTCTCTGGAAGGGAAATTTCCTCAACCACACTATTCTGATACTTCATGAAACTTCATGCTCTCTACAAAATACAACTGCAGTATGCAATGCCAACACCTAATACTTGCCTAGTGCTTTTCAGTAGAAGTTTTTGGTGCTCTTTACAAAAAGTAGGCTGGGAGTGCCTGTGAAATACTTGTCTAATTTTACAAATAGATAAACCCATGCAGGTAAAAAGCAGATGTCCATGGCAAAACTGCACTAGTGGCAGAGCAGAGAGTTAAATCAGCTAAAAGATTTCAAAGCCATCCACGAGGTTTGGATCTTTTCTGCCTTAAGTAATATTAAAATATTATGTAAACCTTTCTTTGTGAGCCATTACTGGAGAAATGAGGAAAAAAAAAGATCTCTTGGAAGCAATTCTGCACAGGCTATGTAGGTGAGATCACAGTTGCTATCCAAACAGACTATGCATGGCAAGAGCAGGCTTCCTGTAAAACTGAAAGACTTGCAGTAAGATCAAGGAACATATTTACAAGATGGCATGGACAAAATATCCTTCCCTCCTCTTGCCCAGCCTCAGCAGCTTGGTGAAACACATTGTCTCACTTTCATGTAAAACCACACTCACAAATGCCTCCAGTGCAGAACCTCTACCTCTGTGCTCTATACACTGACTTACAAACAGACCTGACCACACTTGGGACACTGGTTAGCAGAACACAGATCGTTACCTTTTTGGAGGAAAGGGTCGTTTTCCATGATGAAAGGCAACAAGGAAAAGTTATCTCAGGAAGAGGAAACACCCAAAAACCCAAGACTTTGCTCAGGTCTCGGATCCAAATCCCAAAAGCTTTATGCATGACACTAGAAAATTTACAGTACTGTGTTACAGAACTAGATCTGAGAGGATTGATAGATCTGATGGAGAGGATTTACTAGAGATGGAAGTATTTTAAGCCAAACTCTAATATATGTTTAGTCAGGTGAGCAATGTGTAATCTGAATTAGGATGAGCTATTTAGAAGTGTTAACCATGGCTGTTTCAGGAGAAAAGATGAGTCTTTATTCACTGTAATTTATTGTAGTCTCAGAGTACTGTACAGTAATCTCGGGACCCTGACAGATCAACATGCACAAAGTACAGCAAATATGGGCACTCACAGAGGCAGATGCCATTGAACATGGTGTGAGCTGCCCTAGAAGACAAGGCACAACTCCTGTGTGCATCCAGACCAGATACCCAGGTTCAGGTGTCTTCCTCTGGGTGCCAGCCTGGGCCAGTGTGTACTGGCTATTTGTACAATACTGCAGACCACAATGCACTTATTGCTGACAATATGAAAGCTAATATTTAGTACCAAGTTAAAGCCAAGCTACCTCGGGACTTGTCAAGAACAGTCTCTCAAGATCTGATGGGTGAGACCAGAAGAGATGGCAGCTAGATCTCCAACTGCAGGACTCCACTCAGCTACGATTCACGCCACATTTACTAATAAAACTCATCTTTTTCTGGGTAGACAAACCTCTCACTGTAAGGAAGCAAAAAAGAAGACTCATCTGTATTTTACTTTCCATAACTAGAAGTCTCATGTTATCTCCATATGTGTTTAGACCACAGACTAGTTAGTCAGCGGCATGGCAGCTGACATTAAAAGGATTAGTAAATTAAGCTCAAATAATTGTCTTAAAAACCTTGACTGTTAAATGTTTATATTTGAGAGGATCAAAAGGAAATCTACTTTGTAGTGAGCACTGTGGTTGGGAAGGGGCAGAGAGGGATTTAAATGGCTTAACTGCAAAACTGTTATCACCTTGATAAGTCCCAGTGTAATAATTCAGCAATAAAAGCAAGAAATGCTTTTGGAATTTGTTTCCAAAACTGATTGTCTGACTGGAGACAAGTCAAGCTCTTAATTTGCTTGAAAGAACTTGGTCAGAAGAAACAGAGAATGCTACTGAAATGTAGTCAAGAATATAAAAATAAGCACTTTCCAGTGACTTCTGAACTGCAGTGTTCAGTATCTTTTTTGTTTTTTTAAAAGCTACTTGAAGCCTACAGTCTGCATCTGGTATCTGAGTGTTACCACTAGTCAATCAGGAGTGTGATTCTCCTCTGAATTATTCCATTGTATGGCAATGGAAATATAGTAAAGCTAAAGCAGTAAGGAGATTGCAGGCTACAGTGCAGGATTAGGTCCAAAGTAACATCTGGAACCCGGGTGCAGATACAAACGGCTGCAGTTTATCAGCTTATCCACTCAAATTGCTAACGTCCGTGCCAATAACACAGATAAACTAAGAGGGAGAGGAGCTTGCTACATATATGCAGGTGCTTGTACCACTGCAGTGTCTTGAGGAATCAGGTTCATGGGGCTGTTTCACCTCAGCAATATGCAAGAAAGCAGTGAATCTGCCAACTGAGACAGGATGCCCTAGCATAAGCAAGGGTGGGAGTGGAAGGCACCATATCATCTTAATAATAATTTATTGTTTTGCTTTCTTGCACCTTCCTTTATCACAAAGTGAGGTTCTAAACAAATTTCTTTTCTTTTGTCTTTAAATCTTTCCTAGTAAAGACGTCTCTGAAATCTGACACTTTGAAGCATAGCAAATCCACTAGGTTTTGGGTAGTCTGGCAATGTCAGAGTGTCTACCACCCAACAGCCCATGGAATTCCCGAAAGCTGGTGGGAGCATCACTAAATTGCGGGGATGGCTAATGTGAGGTAGCTGGACAGCACAGAGTTGCCAGGCTGTGGGGAGGGACTGCATTTGTCAGCTGCTAACCTGATCAAGAGCCATCATAAACTCCACGACACCGGTTCTTCAAAACAGAGAAAAACGTTGAGACTAGACAGGAAAATGCAGGACAGTCTCTACCTGTGCTTAAGTTTCAAAGTAACAGTGTCCAAGATCATTTGATCTGCCAGGCATTCAGAAAATCTCTGCTATAAAACTACCACTAAAATACGTAATACATTCCAGACAAAAACATAAAGCTTTCAGATTAGGTGCCAAACACCAAATTTTCAGTTTTCAATAGTTCTTTTGAGAAAAAGCCTCTTTGCCTCACAAAATACTTCTCCAAATATCTGATCTTCTGGGTTTGTAGTACTTTCAAAAGCATTTTCTTTCCATGTTAACACAGGTAATGTGTAATACGGTACATGTAATAAAGTCAGTGCCTTTTCAAAGTGTGATGAAAGCAAAGCAAAGCAAAACAAAACAAAACAAGCCTGCACCAACCGAAGAAGGGGTGTCAGACCACATTTTTTGTTGTTACCTTAAGTCTCTTCTTTTGGCCATCTCTCCTGGTGAGATAACCCAGGGTAGGCTCTGGGGAAGACATTCCAGGGCTTCAGGGGAAAAGTCAGAGAAATCCACACCGTACTCTGTCAGGATCCCTTCCGTTTCCGGCTCAATCTCCCCAGCTTGCCCAAGACTTTTGGCCAACTGCCTGCAAAAAGAAAGAAAGGGATGCTTTTTTTAAGTGTATAATTACTACTGTCATTTTGTTACTGTCCCCGCAGAGAGACTGCTGAGCCCTCAAACATACTTTTTCACCCATTCACTCCGCCCTGAGTTTTGGCAGAGGACTTAGCAGGAATTCAGACCATACTATGACTTATGTCTGCTGGAGATGCAAAACACTAGCCAGACAGTACCCTGGGCTGTTCCGTGCATCTCATTTTAAGGACACGTTTTATATTACTAGGTTTTTGCAGAGGTAAGAAAGTGTCAAATATTAGAAAAAAATACATTCAACAGGGATAAGAAAAGCACAGCCCTCCACACAGGCAGCTCTAGCTTTACACATGGCTGGTTTCCTCGAGATCCTCCTTCCTCTCCTCACCACTGAAAAACGTGACTCACCCCCACTACCTGAAATGGAGAACAGGTTCCCACCAGATCCCAGACAGCTCTGCAGGAGACAGCTCCCGGGGAGCTCAGCACACTGCTCTCCATCCCAAAGGATATGCATCTCTGCCTGGGCAAACTATGAAGACATCATAGGGTGTGAGGAACCCTTACTGCCTTCCTTACAGGAGTCACACACACAGACATGCCCACAGATCATTTTTCCAACCATTTTCCAGGCTCTTTCCAGGCTCTTTCCAGGACCTAAGCATTCCCAGTAGTTTGTCCCTCCTCTCCTAGCTAAGCAGAAGCCTCTGAAACAGAAGCTAACTGGAAAGGAGCCAGCGACCTAGAAGCAAGTCACAGGCAGGGGAAACTGTCCCCCACATGCTAACAGTCTTTGATGAAGTAATCTGCACATGTGTGGATGAGGCTGCTGCTCTATTATGCTTAGAGAAAGTTTCCATCTGCTCCAGTGCAAACCCCAGTATGCATTTGTCCAAGAGCTCTGGTGTCAAACAAGCATTCGGCTGTGGGCACAGCCTGCAAACTGGGACTCCAAAGGAGTGGGACATTTCTTCCCTCCCTACCTGGTTACAAATACTACATGAGAACCTATATCCCATGGTGGCTCCCCTTGTCCCTCTTCTCACCCCCAGATTGCTCTACAGTACATAAAGGTAATTTTTTTTTTTTTTAAATATACTGCCATTAGGGCGAATGGCACATTACAGCCAATAGAGATAATGCTCCTGACCCAAGAAAATTACAATGAAATTAAGGCAAATCCATCAAAATATGACACAAAAGAGAGGGGTAATAACACAGTGCAAAACCAGCCACTCTAATAAGTGTTTTTCCACTGCATAAAATACACAATCATTACATTGATCCTTCTGCTTTAATTCCAATGACTGAGAACAGGCACTAATTACTTTCCTAAATTGGGGCCAAAACAGTGCGCTTGTCATTTGGATGAGCAAGATGCTCTGAGGGCTTCAAATGTGCCATAAACCCACAGCACAAACCCCATCCGCGCAGCGCAAGCAAGCCCATCTTCTTTATGGGAGCGCAGCTATCTCTCTTCACAACGGGAAGGGCTGCGTAATAAACCTGTCACATTGTGTAATATGCTGAAAGGATTGCGTGCTTCGTGGCGTGGTAAATTGTAGAGTTCACATTGCCTAGCTTTAAAATAAAAATGAAAACAAGGATAAAAGATATTTCCCTCCATTGTTTCAATTTTATGTACAAACTGTATGGCAGAAATACGTGCATGTTTGGCATCGAGGCTGAGTTCTCTGTTCCTGCAGCTTGGTCCCAGTCTGATTCTTATTTTAATGTAAATAAATGAGGCATCAGTTTTATCTCCCTCTCTCTCAGCAGTAAAAATAAATGAGAGAAATCCCCACTTCATTTCCAACGTCTACTGCGGAGCTGGGAGACTGAGCAAGGACAAGCCTGTGGGTCTGCAGGTCCACCAGCACCACCAAGGATGGACTGAAAAAAAGAAAAGAGGAAAAGAGAGGACATGTTGCCCTACCAAAAAGAAATGGCAAGGGCTTGAGTCTCAGGTGCCCCTTCTCTTGGAAGGGCAGAGCTGGGAAGTGCACCAGGAGGGCGGCTGGACATCTGCACGACAAGTCATGGAAAGCACCTCTGAATACCAGAGTGCTTTCCAGCTCAGTCTTGAAACCCATGTTCTCTTGATCCGTTTACTGAAATTAGATTACGAACCATAAGGGGTTTACCCAGAGGTTTGATACAGGACTAATATTTTTTTAATAGTAATTAACATTTGATTTACAGTGTTCCAGGGAACATTTCCCAAGTACCTTGAAATAAAAAGTGTACAACCGACTTTAATTGGGGCCATGTTACAGTCACGCAGACATGATGACTTGCATCAGAGCAAAATCTGACAGGACAGCATGTGATCAAAGGTAACGCATATAGGATCACCGATGGCCCCGGAGTAACAGCCAGGCTGTAAAATCACTCATGGGGCTCTGCGGCCACCAAGGGTAGCAAGAATAGTTCAAGAGGCTTATAAACAACAACAGGCACAGGGCCCAGTGGCAGTCAGACATCCACTCCCAGGGAGTCACTGTGTCTGTGATACCCCAGGCTTGTGTGTATCTATTTTTTTTTTCAAATGTTGAAAGGTAAAAAAAAAATATAAAGGTTACAGATGTAAACATTTATGTGATATTGATGGGCGAGCATTAGAGCACCTTGGAGGGTTCCTTGAATAGACTTGGACTGATGTCAGACATGGTGGCAGCGTGCACCGACAGGAATGAGCTGCAGTCGGGGCATTGGGCGGCACACAGCACAGGGTGCTCCTCCAAAGCAGCCATAGCTGCAAGCGCATCAAACTGCTCCAAGCTGCCAACTCACTGGAGCCTGACCTGCCATGTGTGTGCGCCTGGGGCAGAGCCACACTCATGCTGCCATCTTCCCCTTCATGGTGACACTGATCGCATCTATTCGGCCACCCATTTCTACAAACATTCGAGTCCTCTCCACTCCCCAGACTCAGCTGAAACTGGCCAACATGTTCAAAGGTTACATGATAAGAACTCTCCAAAAGACAAGGCATAATTACATAAGGCTTGTTTCCTTTGGAAAGCCAGGCAGGCTCCCAAATGAGAGTGAATAACTTCCATGGGGACTTCACAACCTTACTCAGTCTCTCCTGGAGCAGACTTGTCCGCAGTCATCCTACACGGAGGGTTTCGTTCAGCAGCAGGAGAACATCCTACAGATCAGTAAGCCACCGGTCCTAGAGGAAGCTTGTACAGGAGCAGGAGAGGGGACAGCAAGGAAGGCCACCTGGCCGCTCCTACTGCCCAGGGCCTGGAGCTCGCAGGCAGAGCTGCACAGGCTTGATAAAGCCCAAAGGTCCCAGTGGAGAAGGCAAAATGTCTGCAGGGATGAGCATCAGAGAGACAGAGAGCTGTGTCAGGGGAACCCCCAGCACCCGAGAGCACAGTCCAGCCCCACTCTGCACCACGGAGCTGCATCCCTGCAGCTGCTGGGCCACCCGCCATCAGAGCGCAGGAGCGGCATGGTGCTCCCCATGCAGGTGGGGCCACCCCATGCTTCAGAGCAGTACGGCGATTAGCTGTGCCAAGGGAACACAGCTTTACTGAGAGACAGTCCCATCTGCAAGAAAGTGTTTTTGCAACAGAGCTACACTGCTTGGGGATCAGACCTTCCCTCAAGCCTTACAGTGAGCTACCCAAGGTATCTGGTCATTTCCCCTTGTCCTGGTTTTGGCTGGGATAGAGTTAATTTTCTTCCTAGTAGCTGGCATAGTGCTGTGCTTTGGATTTAGGATGAGAATAATGTTGATAACACACTGACGTTTCAGTTGTTGCTAAGTAGTGCTGACACTAGTCAAGGACTTTTCAGCTCCCCATGCTCTGCCGGGTGCACAAAAAACTGGGAGGGGGCACAGCCAGGACAGCTGACCCAAACTGGCCAAAGGGCTATTCCATACCATATGACACCATGCTCAGTATATAAACTGGGGAAAGTTGGCCGGGGGGCAGCAATTGCTGATCAGGGATGGCTGGGCATCAGTCAGTGGGTGGTGAGCAATTGCATTGTGCATCACTTGTTTTGTATATTCTTTTATCATTATTATTATTACTTTCTCTTCCTCTGCTGTCCTATTAAACTGCCTTTATCTCAACCCACAGGTTTTACCTTTTTTTTCTGATTCTCTCCCCGATCCCACCGGGGAGGCTGAGGGTGAGCGAGCAGCTGTGTGGTGCTTAGTTGCCGACTGGGGTTAAACCATGACACCCCTACACCACATACATTTTTGAATTAAAAAAAACAGAATAAAATGCCAGAGATGAAAGGAATTCAAGCCATTTGGATGGCTTTGGAAAGAGCGTCTAGTGAAAGAACATCCTGCAACATTTCATTTTATTGCAAATGCCATGACAAATCTTGTCACCTTGACAGACCAATATCTAAGGCCCTGAGCTAGAATAACCACGGGCCCCATGTGACACAGAGGGAGTCAGTGATTCAACATTTTACTATTACTTTTTTTTGTTTTAATAGTCTCATCCATCATCATATGTGGGGGCAAACAAAAAGATCCTGCCTTAACCATCTCCAAAAGTGCAGAGGTGTCTGAACTAATACTCTAAACAGCCCTGGGACTGCAACACTGAAAAAAGGTCCCCAGAAGATAACTGTACATGGCAGTACTTGTAATATTTATCTTGAAAAGGAGAATATTTTGGAGCTATTTTGCTTTACTTGCTACCTGAAGCAGGTACAGCTAAATGGCATTTCACTGCCACGGTAAAATCACTTCACACACAGGAAGGAGCACAGGAGCACACACTCAGGGTATCACCAGCGGGACATGGAGGCATTAGTTCCTCCCTGCTCCTTTCCCAGCACAGTCGGGGTGACAGGGTGGCCTTCAGAGGGGACAGTGTCTCACTGGTGACCACCAGGTGGCAATCATGACACAGAAACGCACCCCCCCTCCCCAAGGGAACCTCCAGGGACTGTCAGGTTGCCCCTGTGCAGGTGACCACCCTGGGTGGCCAGTGCCACTGCCAAACCCTTGGCCAGAGCATCCCACTGCTGCAGTCACATGCAGTCACCATGAAGACCAGCCTATGCCAAGAACTGTGCTTGGAGACACTGCACTGAGCTTCCCAAGGGAAAAGGAAAGCTGAGGAAGGTGCATGACCAGCCTGGGAGAGTTCAGCTGCAGGATGGACAGCGCCTGGAAACACCCAAGGTATCCAGGGGAAATGACTGCCAACTAGGGAGGGAGTTTCCCTTATCGTACTTCCAGCAGACTTAGACAGTGCAGGGTGACGACCTATAGGCGCTTTAGTCCAGACACCTTCAAAAGCATGGTGGTGCTGCCAAAGGGGTATCATGAAGTCTGTGTGCAGAACTAAGGGGTGCACAAGAAAGTTCAAAAAACCCAAGCATGCAATGAGCTGCAGATCACCTGCTTATTTCCCTTTCAGGTGGGCCATGACTACTCACATGGCTCATAAACGAGCTTATAAACCCGCCCAAAAGCAAACAGGAACTTTTGGGACCTTCAAGAGGTTTCCTTGTCGTTCAGTGTTTAAACAAGCACATATTTATAGTTATAAACAAAATGGGTCACCAAAGTTTTATGCTCCCATCTCCACAAGGCACTTACTGAAGTCCCAGAGGAAATGGCTATGTATGAAGACAATCATGGATGTTTTCTTTCCTGACAACACCCTTTATATCTTGGAAACTACCAAAACAGCCAGATGAGAATATACAATGCTGTCAGAAACATAGATTAAAGAAACACATATAAGCCCATGAAAAAAGGCATTAGCCCATCTTCCTAATTTCCCCCTTTTCTGCTGAAAAGGGGGGTTGTTCCTGACAAGAAGCCAAGCAGTACAATCACCCTCTAGTCTTATTCTCTGTTGGAGTCAAAGAAGACAAAGAAAATCTCTGCCAATAAGAAACTTAGTCATAGTGAAGTTCACAGCACAGCCAGCCCCTAGTTAAGTGGGGCTCAAAGGGAGGCCACTTCAGTTCATGCACTGCAGTTTAGCTAGGAAATACTGAGTGACTTTAACTGCTCATGTGGCTCTCAAGGAGTATACGTGAAACTTGCTATTACTGGGCACACAAAGCAGCCACAACTGACAATGAACTCAAACTCAGGGAAACAGGGACTTTGGTTTAGTTTACTTTTAGTTTCAGGGCTGATAGATCTGTGCCAACATACTTTAAAAAAACCCATTTTATGTAAGTTTTAAGTTTTACCAGGAGTTTGAGCTGAGGACTCCAAAAACCATGGTGCTGACACTGTATGTCCATTGTGCTACGCCATCAGAACAGCTTTGCATGGAGAGAAGTTGGGCTTTATGCCCAACTCCACTACTGCATATGCTCCAGATTACATCCAGATCCCCATCACCTGTAAAATCTGACCACAGCATTACCATAGGTCAGTTACCTGCTCTGGATCACCAACTAAACCAGGACTACTCAGTTTTTCCACGATAACTAAATAGATTTATCAATGTCCACCATTTCTTATTGAGACCCACTCAATAGGAAGCAGCATGGCCACTCCAGGTGGGTGCTTGGCACACTGCAACTGTTCCCAAGAAAAGAGTGAAAATGCTGAAAACTACAGGGTCTTCCTCAATGACAGGCAAAATGAACTTGCAATCTGGATCCAGTGCAGCACAGGCCATTTGAGTAGCCCTGGCTAAAAATCTCCTCCTTCACGGCAGTGACTGCAATTTGAACTCTGGACAGCAATAGTTTTACAGTGACTCCTGAAAAGCACAGGGTGTGACACCCTTCTCATCTGCTTCAGGACTGAATAAATCTTCTCTTGATTTCTAGTACCCATCCTTGAAGCAATGCAAATTTAAACACCACAAAACTCTGTGATTTTTTTCTACTACTTATCAGTAAAGGCTTAAAAACCGAAGATGAGCCTCGCAGCTACTGATCATCTTCCTCTGGCAGAAATGAAATGTCTACACACTGTGTACTCCTCTTACACAAAAGGAGGAAGGATTGAAAGGCTGCCAGCACCCTATAGTGCTTGTGCTGATCAGGCTAAGTACCTGTGTGTGTTCCCTCTAAACTGCAAGCTCTTCTGAGCAAAGACTGCACGCTCATCAACACTGTGATGTGCCAGCACACTGAAGCAAGCACCAAAAGAAACTAACATTATGTAGCCATGAGATTAACTAGCCATGAGCTATCCTTAGCCTCATCACAGTTTATCCACCAAATACCAGAGGGATACAAGAGAAGTATCTTGTTAACAGATTCCCGTCTCTATCTCATGTATCAAACTAAGTGAAACCAAGAACTCCGACTAGAAATCTCAGTCATTTCTACTTCCAATGGCAGCCACATACCCTGTTGCAAAGTTGCTGTCTTCTTTCCAGTCCACTATGCGACAGATGAAGAGCATATTTGAATAGTCCTCAGGCCTGGTCACAAAGTCGGGAGGGCAATCAGCCAAAGACACATAGGCCCTGGGCACTCTGTGGTCCACAGGTGAGAACATGGCACACCTCCTGAAGAGTTCACTGTTCTTGTCCGCCAGAAGCTTGATGAAGCCTGTAGCTGCCCGGGAATGCTTCTTTTCCAAAATATAGACCACCTGGAAGAGGCAAAGGTTCCTACAGTTAATACCTTCAGAGAAACTTATTTTCTCTAACAGAAAAAGGATACACAGAGTCTTAGCAGAATATCTGGAAAAATCACAAGGCCTATATCATGTTTTCCCTGTGTGTGTATATGTATATGTGCATTTTTTAACTGAGTACCTATTTACAATGTATTTTCCTTGCCATCTTGCTCATGGCTATAGAAGAGGTAAGTGCCTTCCAAGGGCTAGCTCTCTACAGCAATTTTCTTGATTACAGAACAAAACCAGACAAGAAGCAGATGCTTCCAAATGCAGGGAATTAGCCACAACATACAAGCAACTCCTGTAAAATCTTTCATTTGTATCCTCGGACTGTGATTTCGACATTCAGCGCAGATCAGGCCAGTCCAAAAACAGTGCCGCTGGCGGATCCAATGCTAACCACAGGAAAGGATGTGCTGTGGGGAATTTGGCAGTTCTCTCCTCCTCTCTGTGCTTTCTGAAGTTAGGGGTTATTTTACCTTTACACAAGATGGCTTTGAAAAGAATAATAAATTACAATATCACTAAATAATTGTTCCAGAGAGGTGTTCATCCAGGCTATATTTTTGTAGACCATAATAAATCACTGGATAACAGAAATATTATAGCTGATTTCCTAAGCTTATACAGAAGAGTCCTTCCAGAAGGTTTCAGGAGCTGCACCTCTGTGCGATTCTGAGTGCTGGAATTGCCACGCTGGATGAGACCAGAGGACAGCCCAGCCCAGAAGAGGGACCAGAATCAGAGGCTGCAAGGGAAAGCACAAGAAGTGGAAGAGACTTGACCCAGCCTGACCCAGTAGTCCTTTTCTGGTCTCTTAACGTTCAGAGGTTGACTCAAATCTTGAACCAATGGTATCAACAGCCTCTCCAAAGTCTGTAAGAATTAATTCTGACAACTTTGGATATCCTGACACTCATCCAATCTTTTTCCTGAATCTTGCGAAGTAATTCTGTGTAACAAACAAAGGGAATTTAACCTAGGATAACTGGTAAAAATAACAAGATACTTGACTTTTATCAGATCAGACAACTACTCTCTTCGAAATGGGGAATGAGATTCAAAGATCAACAGATGGAGACTACAAGGAGGCCAGGGCTGGTCTCCTTCAGCCTTTGGGAGTGCACACTGCTTGCTTGTCACTCTCCATGAAGTTACCTTGGCTGTCCTTTGAAGAAACTTATCTGGGAGGAGCCTGGGATCATTCACCTTGGGTCCATCATCTTGCTTTGTTCTGTGCACACCGCAGATCCCAACAGCCTTCACTGCATCAAACAGGACAAACACAACAGTTACTGTAGCACATTTCTATCATGAAGTCATGTTGGGCCTTTACTGTAAACTACAATACAAAGTGCATGTAGTAGACTTGAAAGGAAAAAGACCTCTTAAATGTTAGAATAGCCAAGCATGAAACAATTACTATCTCTCCAGACTACCACAGAGAGCAGATATATGTTCACTTAACATGCATATCTGCTGAAAACCAATAAAAATCAAAATAAATCCAAACTTTGCAAGTACAACTATACCAGTCATAATAAACAAAATGGTGGAAAACTCATTCTGTTTATTAAATACTAAGAACTACATGAATTTCCCGGCATTTCTTAGTTGGAGTCCTGAACATTATATAAATAGTCCATTAAGTACATACATTAATTTAATATTTAATTTCCTTCAAAAAATGTTATGCAAGGTTATAAAATGCATGCTTATCTTTGAAACTGAAACCATTTCTACTAAGCTGACCCTCTTCGGCTATGGACGAGGATTATGAAAAAGTCTTATGAAAGTAATCACTACATATGACAAACAGCTCCCTCCCCATTAAATTTCTTCACCAGATACTGAGAATATTTAAATCAACTGTCAACTAATTTCTAGTTTGCAATTTTCAAATATTCAGGTATCTGAGTTTGAAAGTATCTGCTATAAGTGGCACACCAAATGCATTTAGTGTTTACAAACATCCAAAGTGATCTTTGCCATGGAGAAGGCTGGGACCGGTCCCTTCTTGAGTTGCATCCCTGCTGAGAGCCCACGGTTACTGCTCTGACAGCGTTTTTTGGATAGAAACATCCATGTGCTCTTCTCTGGAGGGCTTGTGGAGGACAGATGCCTTTTTCCACTTGTATGGCAATCGCATCCATCTCAAGCACATGTGCTAAAATCAAACTCTGAGTGTTCCAAAGAAATTTTGCTTTCTTACAGAGAGAGTGTGGCACCAACTGCAAGTTTCAAGGGACATAGCTGTCACTGTTTCCCTTAGAAAACATGAGATAAAGCAATGTTTTGCTGAAGACTGTGCTCCAGCAGGCCAACGGCACTCATGCACGCCAGAAAGCCTCAAGGAGAACAGTGGTGACACGCAGACCCTGGCCCCCAGATGACACCCATCTGTCCCACAGGGACCCTCGACGGAGGCTGCTGGTGACATGACGGATGAAGAGGGCCAGGCTGTGGGAGGGGAGGCTGCAGCTGCTGGCAGCGCCGAGCAGTGCTGGAGCGCCGGGGGCTGGTGCTCAGGGGGAGATGGGGTGGCAGTGGGGGCCAGCAGTTTGCCCCGAGGGGAACGGCTGTGCACCACTGTCACGAGGGCACATTCACAGATGGTCCTGCCACCATGGATGGCCTGGGTTGCCTTCAGGCAACGTCACCCCAGCAGTCGTTTGACAATGACGGCTATCACTCTAATGACAAACTCTGATTCTCATATGCCACTAATTATGCCCAGCTTTGCCTTCTGATACAAAGCTCTCCAGACTTTGCCTCTCCCCAGAGAGCATCTTTTTCAGAAGAATCTAAGTGACTTTAATTTTATTTTATCTTTACTGACTTGCTAGCAAGGCAAAGAGGAGAGCAGACAGATATTCAGGGGTTTAAATAAAAATCTACCTTCCTTAAAAAAGCAGCAGTAGTAGCAACAGCAAACCCCTTTCTTTTTTACTTCTCCTACCGAAATGAACTCAGATGTGCCACAACCAGGGTTACTAAGGGATAAAACCACCCAGAGTTTCATGGTGACAAACAAGCTGTGGAAAGAAATTGCTTGGATAATTATAAACAGTTTAAAAAGTGGAGATACCCAAGTTACACACCTCATTTGCTTGCCTCCTCTAAGATCTCTGCCAGCTAAAGGTCATACCAAGCAATCAGTTAGTAAAGAATAAAAGCAAGGAGACATTTTGCTTTCTTAAAAATTTTCAAGCCATCGGTTAATAGTCACGGGTTTATGGTGTGCCAACCATAAAGACAGCTAGGACAAAGAACAGGACAAAGAAGCATTGGCAAGTGCAGAAGGCAAGGGGTGGTTGGTAGCCTTCCAAAGGCCATGCCTTCAGGCACATCTGCCACAAGCCCGGGGCTTTACTGGAGTGGACTCTCCCCCACTGAACAGCACATACTGGTTGGAAGAGAAACCAGATCTAAATGTGTTTGGAAAAAAGCAAGAGCTGCACTCACTGCTTTCCCAGTGCAACAGAACAGCAGCACCGACTCAAGGCACAACAGGCAAGAATGAGAAACGCACCAGGAGCCACATGAGGAACTTGATAGCACTGCCTGCTTTCTACTTCTCCTTCCAACTCCCATTTCTCCAAAAAGTTGCTCGCATTTTTTCACAGAAGCAGCTTTCCCCGTCAAAAAATGAGCCAGCAGTGGTGTCCTTGGGACGTATCACATACACGCATGCAAAAGCACAGAAGCACCAGGAGAGAGCTATCACGGGGAGCACAGCAAATGGGTCACCACAGCTTCCTTTGCCTGGGATGAAGAACATGCAGGACTGAGGCATTGCACCCCATCCTGCCAAAGCTGAGCCCCATGTGAACGCAGTACAGGTACCAGAAAGCATCTAGATTCTCATTGTAGCACATAGTAGAACCTGCCCTTTTTTTTCACAGCCAAAATCAACCAGGGGCCTTTGGCTGGCTGGAGAGTACCTTCTTCCTCAGGGGTCTCTCCAATTTCAGTATCCCTCCCAAAAAATCCTGGGATTATTAGAGACTCCAGCAGACAGAGGCTGGGATCTACAACTATTCCATCAACAGAAAGAAAAGAGGAAGTAAATCCCAGCTATCTACTTATTCCTACCTATATTTCTTAACTAACTTCAGCGTCTAAAAGGTCATCATGTACATTTACTGATGGGCAACACTCCTGAAACAAGGGACGGGGAAGAAGACAACATGAGGAACTCTGTACTCTTGGGGCCAAGAGATGTGGACTTCTTTACAGCTTATAGCTGCTCCTTTTGAAGTCAAAATTCTGTCAGTACCAGGGCTGCATCTAGCGCTTGGAGATCTACATTAGCGGAGCACCAGCAATGAGGACTCCCTGTGACAAACACCTCTGCTCAGAAAGGACAACTAACCTAGATCCAATGTCCACCTGGCTCAGTTGTGAAATTACTGCACAGAGACCTCAGTCTCAACAGTGATAATCTGCCACAAGAGTCTTGTACTTGAGTTCCCTAAATACACTTCTGACCATCCCTGCCTTTCGTTGCACATCCCCCTTCCCTCCAATGAAACTGGAACTTGGTGGGTGGGCACAGAGGGGAGGTCTCCAGACCCCACCGGAGACTGGTGGTCTAGAAGGTCTGAGCTGGGAGACATAAGCATCTCCCACAACAGGGCAGAGCCACGGAGGCAATCTTAAAGGAGAGTTAGCTTGTGAGAGGAGCAGGATTTTGAGCAGTGGAGGTGGGAAGAAACTCCTTGCATTATGCCAAACTAAAAATGAATTATTCTGACCCCTTTACTGCAGTGGTTATCCAATGACCATTCAATATTTCCACCCTCGGCAAAGACATGTTTTCTGAGAAAGATTTACTATGTTAGCTTGGGCAATACTTCATAAGCTTATCTTACAGTGAAAACACACTTCAGCAACTAGGATCCAGTGAAACTGCATTATAATCTCAGCGTTTTCCTTTCAGCGATTATCTGACAAACCAAAACTGTAATAGTCTTACTTTAAAAAAAAATTAGGCACTAGATACAAAAAGCAACTCAAATTAGTTATGTTATTACCAACAAAGTAGATCCAGGACACTTGGAATTTGCCTCCCTCTGTACGAGATCAGTTTAGGCAGCTTCAATACACATTTAGATTTGCCTGACAGGCATTCCTAGGTCAAACATTATTTTTTTCTAAAGCCCCCCCACATTTCCTTTTACAATTAAATTACCATGATATTAAAAGGTGGCCAAAGTGGACTAAAAGTCATCAGACTAGAATTCTGATTACTTGTGACAGATCCAAAACTATTTTCACTAGGTTTGTATTGGTCACTGTGGAAATTTGCAATTCTGTCCAAAAAGAATACAATTAAAGATGCAATATCCACTTGCAAATGAAAATATATCACAGTTTCAGATCTCAAAAACAACTCACTGAAAAAAAAAAAAATCTCCCTCCCTGGATGGAAAGAAACAAGTTTTTAAAAAAAATAGTTCAATGTTTGCTACTTCAGCTAGGAAAAAAAATCTGCTTGAGCAGTTAGCTGGCTTACTCTATGTGGTCATATCTAAGAATCCCATCAGAAGGCATTATTGATAAGAAGCTTTTAAAAAAGAAGATACTGCTCTTCAGCTTAGTGCTCAGATACCAGCACATTTCTAAACCTTTCAATAGCAAAGTCTACCACTTACTAATGAAGTAACAACACTTAGGTTCTCTGATGCCTGCTTCAATAAGCAGGTTCCAGCATATTATGTTTTAATACCAAATACATATGGAAAGTGGTGTAAAACAAACCAATTTATTATAACTATCTCAAGGATTGTGTGGCACACTCAAAAAGGATGTGTTTTTGGAAGTTGTGTCTATAGAGAGACATATGGAAATGAAAACTCCCTTCAACCAAAAAGCAACACATTCAAAGGCACAGACAGATTTGCCCTGGATTACACTATTCTGCTACAACCTTCATTTTTAGGGACAACAAGAAGGAAACATGTTGCTGTTTAGAAGACAGTATGAGGGCTCTTCACATTATGTCACCAATGTTTATTGGCACAGAACAGGTTTTTCCTCCAGAACACAAACTGATGGTAGGAACCAGTGGTTCACATCATACTTGGTCCTCCCTTCACCAAGTAAACAAAAATGTAATTTTTGAGGATCAAAGCAAAAGGGTCTGGTTTCTTAGAAACACCTGTCCCTAGCCAGATTTATTTCAGTTCCTACAAAGTTATTTCGACACCTGTAGAGGTAGGAGCTGTGAGCTTCTCCTGATCTTGGCAGATTTCTCCCCCAT